TATAATAGGTGCATGAAAAAGTTTTAATCTTTTTTCCAACGCTCTGATATAATTATTTAAATAATATTTTGGTATAACAAAATAAATTCTCGTTTATTTTTAATTAAAAAAAAGACAGGAAAGGCTATTTATAAGACAAGTAAAACCGAAAGATCATTTTACTACATGACAACATTAGACTGCACGTTGCTCTTCATACCCAGCAAACTATTTTTAATTTGGGCTGAAGAGTTTCCTTGCACACGGCGTATCAGACTTGGAATTATCACTTATTCCGATCAATGCAATATTCTTTAACTAAGAACCGCGCTCGAGATATAATTAAAATTTCTTTTTTTTTTAAGAAATTTGAAATTTACTTGAGAAATGGCAGAAAACCATAAAAAAAGAAAAAATATTTTGATGCCTAAATATTATTATGTAGGTATATTATGGATCTAAAGCGGAAAACGTATAAAAAAATTGAAACTCTTGCATACACCTAATACTATAAATATTTTTATAATATAAAATCATGTTTTAATCATATTGTATGCCTGTATGTTATATAGGAATTATTAAACAATTACTATCGTTTAAAGGCTGGATCCCTCTAAGTAGACTTACATACTGCGCTTATCTTTTGAATCCTATCATAATACGTTCGATTTGTTTGTATAGTGAAACATCAGAGCATTTTGAACTACTATCTTCGGTAAGTACACGAATATTTCAAATTTTTACGTTACTAAATAAATTATTAATTTCTTTTACATTTATTTCCAGTTAACTCTGAGTGTGGCATATATTGTAATTACTTACTTTTGTTCTTACGTATTGTCTTTGATTATAGAAATACCGTATATTTTGTTAATGCAAATGTTTATCCGAAATCGCTATAGAATGCATAGAAAAGTAACATAGTTTTGCATACATATTCCATTAATCACTTTCATAACATTTACTTGAACATAACAAAGAATGTAAGTTATACAATGTAAATTGTATAAATAAAATATGTATATATACACTTCCTCCCAAAAAGGCGGTACACTAAAAATTTAGGTGAAACTTACCAAAGTTTGAATAATCATTACTTGGTAAATAATGAAAATAAAAATATATAAATAAAATTACAAACTGAAGCTTGAAATATCACTTTAAAAATATTTGACCGCCAATTACGAACGGTCATTTTTTTCAAAATAGCGGATGACAAAATGAGAAGATGCAAAATTAATAATCAGAGATCCGAGTTTGTGATGATGCACGGCGAGTATCACACCCAAAAAGAAATATTCTATCCTTTAGTGGTACCATCTTCATGATAAAAGATTTTCCTCTTAATATTAAATAAACGTCTCAAAAGGATATTCTAAATTGTAGAGGAATATCGAATTACTCTGAGTATATATTCTAAAATATAGAGGATATCTCTTATACACATC